TCTATTAACTTAGAGAAGATATACTTTAGTTAACTTTTTAGTTTCTTTCTATTATATTATAGCTTATTTACTATTTAGAGTTTAAACTTTTAGTAGTTACTTTAGTCTCTAGTAAAGAAGTAAAAGTCTAGAATTTTAATAGATTATAATAAGTTAGCTTAGGTATTTTATAGCCTAAAAAGTTTAGCTTTAGCTTATTTAGCTCTTATAGCGTATATATTAGTTAGAGTAGAAGAAAAAGAGAAGATAAGTATATTTAAAAAAGAAGAATTATATTATATATTATTTTTAAGTTGCGTAATCTTATAATAGAGAAAGTTTAGTATTTTTTAAGTAATTACTAGTTTTATAAGTAGTTTTAGAGAAGTAGTATTATTCTCTATAAATTAGTTAGTATTAGATATATTTAAAAAGAGAAAAACTAATATTTATTTAGTCTATATTCTTAGTATCTCTTTAACTAGCTAAAGTTTAGTTTATTTCTTATTAGTGTTTACTTTTATGTTTAATATAGACTAAAGCTACTAAGTAATATACTCTTAGCTATTACTCTACTCTACTAAAGTAATAGTATACTAAGCTATATTCTTTACTAAAGTATATAAAGTTATATCTATAATAAGAAGGTTTCTATAAACTTTTTTAGAGTATTAATTAAATTTAATTATAAAAAGCTAACTCTAAGAGTAGATACTAAAAAAGTAATAGATAAATTTAATAGCCTAGAAAAGAAAGCTTTCTAGGTAGCTATATACTTTAGAAGAGTTTTCTAAGCTTAGCTAAAACTAGACTAGGTTTCTAAGATTTCTAGCTAAGAACTTTCCTAGGCGCAGCCTATTACAATACTTAGCTATACTATAACTTTTTTACTATTACTCTATATAGTTATAATATAGGCTAGTAGTTACTTCTATACGTATAGCTTAAAGTATAATATATACTGTACTGTACCTAAAAGTACTACATTACGTTAGACACGCTAAGAACAAGTTTTAGAATAACATAAAAAGCCGCTACTATAGTCGGCTTTCATGCACTCTAACCTTGGCGTTAACTTGGAAGCCCACAAATTTTGAATAATCGGTGAGCGATTCCATTCCTGGAGGATGATCTCGGGAGCAATTAATAGAGGGAAAACTAAAGCATGGCTCTTGATGGCACATCGCACTACAATATTTTTCATGCGACGTGATCCGTGGTCCTCTTGATGGAATTGGTCGAGTAGCCTGAAGATATCGCTCGTGGGAAGATCAATCTCGATAATTTTGATAGAAACGGGAAGTAGTTGCCGAAGCACTGCTAAGTTGCCTGGAAAGTGTGTTTCATTGCAACCAGGTAGCATTTGGTGCGCTAATTTCAGATGCTGCAGCTTAACGAAGTCTTTGAGCCTATCGATCGGTTCAATATTTCGCAAGCATCCATAACCGGTATGACATAGTGGTCCAATAGCCGAGCTTTTCAGTCCAGGAAGGCTTTCGTTTAGTTTACTGACGAACTTCGAGAGATTCCCAGGGTTCGTTCCGGATAGGAGGTGGAACTTCTCTGTATGGTGATAGAATGCGATGCTCAAGTCGGTAAGGAAGATACAACGCTCTAGGACTTCAAACATCGCGCTCTTTCTTTTACGACAAGATACCCAGAGTGAGTCCATATCATCTGGTAGTATCATTGTCATAGCGACATAGCACTGTACAATAAGTGATGTAATGTTGGGGGTGTCGGTGACATCTCCCGGAGATTTGAAGGAACATTTTCGGCTTACGAAGAGCGTCCGTAGCTGTGGGAGACATACAAGACGGAAGGGTAGGACATGCTCTGTCCAGTGAAGCGTTGTTAGATTCGCGAAAGCTGGCACGCTTTCGGGGTGCCAAATGGAAGATTCCCACTGGAGGGTACAAAGAGGTGGTCCGCTAGGCCCTCGCTCGTTGTGCAAGTGTAATGTGTTGATGAACATGCGCTCGACCGATGGCAACCTCAGAAGCGCAGTTTTGACAAGATCGGATTGGCCCAATCTCGCTTCGACTTTTGTCGCCTTAGTCGTGTTGGACAGGGGAATCTCGTAAAGGTCGTCCAGATCGGCAAAGACTGGTAATTCACTGACCCCTACGGCAACCTGCTTTGCTTTGTGCGCTAAGTCAGGACGCGACAGGATCGTTCGCACGAAGCTCGCAATAGGGAATACGATCTCATTTTGTTTGGCTTCTCGATCCATACCGAACTGTAGAGCACGTCCTCGACAACAGGGTGGATGGTTTTCGACACGCACGCTAGAGAAACTTGGCTGCGGGTGTTGACGCAGTTGATGATAAGAAGCTTGAGCTCGTTGGGCAAAGTTTCGAGGCGCGAGAGGCCTGGAGGATACATGGTGAGGACCTCGGGAGAGTTTGTAGTCTGTCTTTTGGTGGATGAGCGCGGAGGTACACGATCAGTTGATACGAAGGGGGTCGATTAAAGAAACGGCGGCTGACTGAATATTTGCACGTCCCACGCCAACTATGCCTAAGTAATGTGAGGCAACGCTGGCCGTACAATCATCGGTCCGTGCACTAGTGAGCACCCAGGCTCCTGCGCTAACGAAAGGGCTCTCGCTCGCCTGAGATAAACAAATCGGGAATAACCTATAATGCCTAGCTACTATTAACCCTATCCGCTTCGCCATTCGATACTAAGGCACTAAACTCTAGCAACGATACTTCGGGAATAATACCAAATCTCGAGGGTCTACTATCTAAGCTCCTGCTTTCCGTTACCTATTACCTTCGCCAGCCCGATTTTTAAAGTCTAGCATCGACATGCTAAAAGCTCTTGAGCACCGCAGAAGACATACTCTACGATGCACCCGGTATCTGGAACGACTGCATATTGGGAAGTAGATCATGGGCGCTATGGGCATGGGTGTCAGGAACCTGTGTTCCAGACGGTCAGGCAACGTCATGTGACCTGACCTAGTGCGAGTATAAGTAGATCCAGAGAATCGTTACTAAGAAGGTAACGATTCGTCTATCCTTACTAGACAATATACTATTACTCTGCCATCTCTTGCATCCCGTATTAATTAGTAGTTACTTGTCTGACAATGGGTTCTAGGATAAAGATATTGCTGATAGTTCTATAGCTAGACTACTAGATGCTAAGATCCATTTTTATGTGTAACGGCCTGTTTCCTTTAGATTCCTAGGTATGCCCCCACATACTCCGCTAGATCTAGCAATACCACCCACCATCAATCGGCGTAGCAGTGCCAGTCATGAACGACGACGCATCCGAAATAAGGAACTCGATAAGCGGCGGAATCTCCGTTTGATGTGCTTCCCTTCCCAGCGGAAGGAATGAGTAATCGACTGGCGCGCCTCGAATCTCATATGCCTTCCTCAACATGGGAGTATCAACTGGTCCCCTGTACATAGTTAGTATGTCGATGTTCATGAAAAGAATTCCGACATGCTAACTTACGGGCAGAAGCAGTTGACCCTAATCTTCTTTGGCCCCAGCTCTTTTGCTGCGCTTCTTGTCATGCCTACCACGGCATGCTTAGAGGCGCAATATGCCAACTGTTTCGGTGCGCCAATGATACCCAAGATACTGGCCGCGTTGACAATCGAGCTACCCTCATTCATGTGCGGCACCTGAGCGCGCAAACAGTTTCTCAACCCAGTAACATTCACAGCCATGACAAAGTCCCAGTCGTCATCCTCCACCTCTTCAATTCCTGCGACGGCGCCTTGTCGGCCAGTTACACCTGCGAGGTTGGCTGCACCATCCAGTTTCCCGAACTTTTCGACTGTGGCTGCGATCCAGCTTTCGACTTCGCCTCGCTTGCTCACGTCGACGACCTGGGTCATGACTTGCGAACCTGATTTCTGAAGTTCGCACTCGAGCTCTTTCAATGGCTTCTCTTGTACGTCGGCGAGCGAGAGTTTGGCACCTTTGCTGGCGAACAGGCGGGCGGTTTCGAGGCCCATGCCTGACGCAGCTCCAGTGATGACGATGACCTTATCCTTGAGAGACATGGTGACTGCTTTTTGAGAATTTCCTGGTAGACTGAAGTGTTGTAGTCAATTGGTAGATCGTGGGTGTTCAATGCTCCTTGAGCAACGCAACCACAAACGAAAGGAATTGAAGTGGCCAGCATAACTGCCGACTAGTACGCGTTTTCAGTGGGTGAGCCGACGTATCAAACCTCCGAGCCTATTGAAACCCCTCATAGCGCTTCGGACCGTTCCCACGATGGAGAAAGGAAGTCCTTTTCCGGTATAGCTCTAGAACGCTTATGTACCTAGCGGTGAGGTGCGGAGGTTATCAACTATAACCCTTGCCAATAGTTAAGCAACGATGGACACCGCAACTTCCAGCTTGAGGAGATACAGGCTGTACCGTTGTAGTGACACGATTTGATGCTATAGTATGCGGTGTTTTGTTATGGCTGTCGTACTCGTGCGAGAGTTTGGTCGGTGGTGTAGCTAGTGGCGGGGCGTAGTGTCCATGACTCGACGCGCGGCGATCTCGGAAGGACCGTTCCCTTTCCTCGGAACCCAAACTCGTAGAAATTCTTTCTATGAGTAAACCTAAGCAAAAAGAAATCAGGTGCTGGAGTATAGCCCTTCGTCGTATCTTTCGTCATGCCGCTAAGCTGAGCCGGGCGACGACGACCTCGGATGGTTTTCGAGAGGTACGAATACGAATAATTTTACCAGATAGACTCATTCTAGCTTTTTGCGGTAATGGGTAATCCCACCTCCTGATGAAGATATATGTAAATACCCATCCGTACAAACTCTGTAGCGTGAAGTGCCTGGTGCTGAGGCATTGATCACCGATATCGTGGTGATGGAATGGCTGAGCAGCAAGCGACACATTCCTAACCGTCGACTTCACGTAACAAACTCGACAGCCTGCGATATTGAACTCATACGCTGCTATATCTTCTTAAGACACATCACAGCATCTTCGCAACCCTCGAGGTCCAGCGATCCATCATGCGAGCTTCGACGACCGCAAAGATGAAGTACTACGCTGGCGTAGCATTCTTTTCGTTGCTCGTTGGAACTACGGGAGGAACTAAAGGCGCAAGTCAGTGCCGTTCATAAGATCAATGCGAAGTGCTGAACTGACTTACCAGCGAGCAAACCACCAACCTGGGTAACATACAGCCCACCACCAGTATCAAGTATCGCTACAGCGACCTCATCTTCTACGACTCCAACGCAAGAGCCGACTCCAACTTCCCCGACTGTCTTTACCAGCTCTTCTTCAGCCTGGTCAAACAGTACTTCCACTACCTCCTCGACCCTCATCTCTATATCCGGTGTAGTCATCACATCAACATCTTTTCCTAGTACCACCTTGGCGACCTTACCCTCTTCCACCCCAAGTCCCACTCCAGGTCCTCAACCGTACACCTTCTCGATCGAGATAAGCAACCAACGACAACATGTCGGCCAATGGTATGGCCGCTACATAGGCGAAGGCCTGACTGAGACGCTCAAGGATCGCTGCGACGATGACAAAACTGGTGCTGATACCTGCAAGACCAAGAAGGACAAATTTGACAACATAGAGTACTCGGACAAAGATGGTATCGTGGAACGGGGAATAGAAGTCGTTGAAGTCAACGTTGAGAGTGACTACATCCCCAGTAAAGACGAAGGAGGGGCCAAGTACAACGGAAAGTCGCTACAGAACGCCTTCATTGCTCAAATCGCAGATACCTTCCAGAAGAGTGGCGAGGACGAGAAAAACTGTTACAAGTTCGACCAAAAGTCTACAATTTGCCTCGGTTGCTCCCATATTTGTCCGTCCTTCAATGCGAGGAAGAAGATACTGAGGTGGTGTAACGCGCCCGAGTATGTTCGAGTGAGCGTCAAGGACGGAGAAGGAAAAGAAGTCGCACATATGAAGGTCGTGCTCAAGTTCACGGGTACGACAGACCAGGGGAAATTTGATTGCATGGCGATTCGAGAGACTGTCGAGAGAAGCGCTCGAGATAACCGATTGAAGGACGTGAAAGACGCGATTGATGGGAAGGAAGTCGTGGCGAACGTGAGTTGCTCAGGAGAGGAGGTAACGGGGACTTGTCCCAATGAAGAGTGCTGGTATCAGTTAGGGCCGTGTTTTAAGTAGCTTACATATATTGAGGTATAAGATATAGACTAGCAATTTTTCAACAAATTGCGTGGCACCGTGAGTCGTGAGGTGTGTGGTGCTGGTGGGAGCATTTGGTGAGGAGGCGTCGTTGGCGTTGCATGACCATGACGCAGCGCCTCCGCCGGACTCCCGAGATATAATTTCCGTGGGGCAATGGCGTCCACCACGGCATGCAATACGCGCCTGCCATACGTCCCACCGCCTTATCCATCACAGTCACACGTTCTTCTTGTCTCTGTTATTACAACCGCGCATTCGCATCCTTCAAAATAGGACGCAAACATAAAGCACACCGCCAACAGGCGCAACAGAACAAGCCGTGGCGCAACGCTGAAAAAGGTCGAAAGGGCAAAGGCAAAAGAGGCAGGATGGGACAGGACGAGTCACGGGTTGTAGACCCGAATGCGCCACCTCAGACCTTATCGGCGCGTACTCTGGAGGCTCTTGCGCAATACATCAAGGATGGGCGCGCGAAGAAGATTGTCGTAATGGTGAGTTCCAGCGCGTTGGCATGGTTAGACGCGTGCTAACATTGGGAAGACAGGCGCGGGCATAAGCACATCTGCCGGCATACCAGACTTCAGATCACCAGAAACCGGTCTATACGCCAACCTCGCTCGCCTGAATCTGCCGTACCCCGAAGCCGTCTTCGACATCGACTTCTTCCGCAAGACCCCCGAGCCGTTCTATTCTCTCGCTCAAGAACTATACCCCGGGAAGTTCAGGCCGACGATAACACATTCCTTCATAAGCTTGCTCTATCAGAAAGGGCTGCTACTGAAGCTCTTCACACAAAACATTGACTGCCTGGAGCGCGAGGCTGGAGTCCCCGGCGATAAGATAATAGAGGCACATGGCAGTTTTGCGACGTGAGTAGGCTCTCTTCTACATGCTCCAATCACTACTGATTCGAGACAGACAATGTTGCATCGACTGCAAGAAGTCGTATCCAAAGGAGCGCATGAACGAAGCCATCCAGAACAAATCGGTGCCGCGCTGCGTCGACTCATTATGTGATGGACTCGTCAAGCCCGAAATCGTCTTCTTCGGAGAACAACTGCCATCCGCATTCTTCGACAATCGAGGCCTCCCAGCACAAGCCGACCTGTGCATAGTCATGGGCACGTCGCTCAGCGTAGCTCCTTTCTCTTCGCTACCACAACTTTGCGAAGACGAGACCCCGCGACTGCTCATAAACTCAGAGAGGGTTGGCGATATGGGAACACGGCCAGACGATGTTTTGTTGCTGGAGGATTGCGATAGCGGTGTGAGAAAGTTGGCAGAGGCATGCGGGTGGACAGAAGAGCTGGGGGCGCTCTGGGCAACAACCGCGCCTGCTGAGGAACCCGTGGCACCCAAGGAGACAGTCAAGAAGAGCCACGACGAGTTGCTGGAAGATGAGGTCGACAAACTCACGCGCGACGTGGAAGAGAGTTTGAGGTTGAACCAAGCGGAACACAAATGGCTCGAGAACCACGTCGATAACAAACTGGCAAGGAAACAGGACGATGATCAGGACGGAGATCATCCTGCGATAGAATTGCAACCAACAATCGATGCGTCGTCAAGGTTGAGTCCTAGCGAGACGAAAACGGACCCTGGTGGTGGGCTAGGACATGTGTTTCCCCACATGAATAAGTCTTCGCTATAGACAACTCATAAGATGCAGGGATGTATGGGATATAGATACACGATCTCACGATCATGAATGACGATAGCGTACTATGCGAGTCAACAAGGCGACCCGTTTTAGAAGCCGCGCACTGACATGGCTGCCTAATTCCCTTATATCCGAGTCTGCACCTTCCGTCTTCCTTCACGCCTACCTCGCCCTCACTCTTCCTCGAAGAAACCAGGATGGCATCAATCACCGAACTTCCTGCTGAACTACTAGATTACATACTCGCCGATCTTGATAGCCGCGCCATCATCAACCTAGCTCAAACATGCAAGGCCCTCCACGCCGTCGCCATACCGGCAGCGTACCACACCATCACCCTCACGTGGGACAACACCTATATTAAAAAGACTTCTGGGGGATTTCAGCGTGGCATGCAAAGAAGAACCGAGAAAGCGCCTAAAATACAGTCTCTGATCCGCACACTCACGAAGAAGCCCGAATACATCCAGCTGATCAAGAGATTTGAGTTCTGCGCCAAGGGATGTGTTGAGTACAGCTACTTAGACGTTGCCGGCGTTCTTTTCCCAGACATTGAGTATGATGCGAGTGGCAAAGAGTGGGAGAACGAGATGTTCAAGGCTCATGTAAAAGAGGAAGGGTTCCAGACGTGGGGCCGTGGCTGGAAACAAGAGGCGCAGCATATGTTGATCGCACTTCTCGTCGGCACATGTCAAGCGCATTTGGAATCTTTGACTATGGAGTGGGGATTCTTCTTGGGTAACCGGTGGTTTCCTGCTATGATGAAGCATGCCATCATGAGCAACGCTGCAGCGTCGGAAGCAGATGACGGACAACCAGTATGGTTCGCGAAGCTGAAAACTGTGTGCGTCACCTTGGAAGAGACGGAGGGAGCGGCCGCAACGTGGGAGCGTAGTTTCTGGAGCGAGCAAGAGACTCTACTTCACTTTTTCTATCTGCCGGCGATAGAGTCGCTCGACCTTGTCACGTGCTCATTGAGAGAGGGCGACTATGATGACTATGGCGGACTATGGGACGAGGGGGATGGTGTGGATGGCTCATTCGAGTGGCCACTAGAGACACCTCCTCTATCGCAAACACTGACTACTCTCCGCCTTACTCCCTCTTCGATGGACCCTCTCACTATCCAGTATCTGCTCAGGCAGACGCCCAACGTCAAAGTCTTCTACTACGATTGCTGTTTGCATCCAGAGCACCCACCTCTCCGCTTGTCGATCTTGAAGGATACACTACGGCATATTGGCGACACGCTTACCGATTTGACTGTGCGCTACAGGCACTATAACAACGATGGTGCCATGGATCCCCCAACTGACGCCGTGGAACCTCTAAGAGAGGGTCTAGGCCCACTACACGATTTCCCTGTTCTCACCACTTTGACTGTGTCATTCCCCGTACTGTTTGGTATCAATAATACGCCAAACCTAGCAAAACATCTCCCTCCGACGCTCGAAACATTGACAATCACGAATGACCTTTCTGCGTATGAGGCACTCGGGATGCGCTTTGAAGACCTCAACGCCATGGCCATCTTCCGACAATACCTTGCGGGTCAAATACCAGCCTCGGATGTAGTTACGTCTCATGAGGGTGACTCTTGCAAATGGTTACAAGATCGGGAGCCGGAGTGGAAGGCCGCAACACCGCGGCTGAAGAAATTGACATATGATGTGGGAACCCAGTTATTTACGGGGTACTGGCTTGAGGACGAGCCTAGAGAGCAGCTCTTGGGATTGTGCAAGACGCAAGGCATCGAAGGCGTTGTGGTACCACAATATGACTCCCTAGGTCGAGTCGTCGAGACGGATTAATTTGTTACCATATGGCATAAGATACTCTAGTAGTTTGTTTTCTGGCGATCATCTGTCCAAACAATTAGCACGCACATCCTTCATCATCATTGTCTGGTCTTGTACCAAATATCGCACGGCTCCTCCATCAACACAAATAGCAAAACGTATACTCACAATTCGCACCCATAGCTTTCCTAAGCTTCATCGTCACAGCCTCTTCCTCCAAATCCTTCTTATCCCCTGTCTGGATCTCCACAGCATAGGTCCGGATGACCTGCTTGACCTGCCCACTCTGGAAGCTCATCTTGGCTTTGCGCATCACCTTTGTTTGGGGTCCTATAGTCGTCTCAGCAATGTAGGATATTGAGGCAGGGGATGTAACAGACCTTGCCAAACAACAAAAGCAAACTTGACGCGCTCGCTGTACTCGTCGTTTCCTAGCTTCATGCGTACGTAGGCGTATGCTGCTTCGTCGTTGCCAAGACTTTCAGTCATCTCGGCAATGTCGCCGCTGCCTGTGCCGGCGAGTTTGAGGTTATCTGATGTTGCGGATGCGTACTGAGGATGGTCAGCAGTCAAGTTCCTCACATTTTCTTACTTGTCGCTTTTGATCACGTCTCGGTGAACGAAAGCCTTCGGGCGCATTATCGGATGTACCTTCAAGATAAGCCACGTGGTCTCGGATTTGTCAGAGCGCACGTCTTCGTATGCTTGCGCGATTTCAGGATCGCTGAGGATGTCTGCGGCAGAGGGCATGATTGGGGAAGGCTTTTGCTATCGCTGAATACGGGAGGGCGATAGCAGGGGTGGGACGACTCGGAAGGGGAGTTTTGAGGAAGTTGGGATGGGGATTCAGGGTTCAGCGATGCCGCCGCACTAGTTGGAGCTAGTGCGGGGCTAGGCCGTTGTAGGAGTCGTGGACGGCCAATGGGGATGGGGAGGGTGTGGGTCTGGAATGTCGAGCTCTGGCGGGCGCAAAACCTCCTTTCTGCTCACATTTTCTGTCGACTACGCACGCATCACTGTTGGGAAGATACCGCATCTTGCTTCTGAATAACTACACAGTATAGTTTATCTACGCATCAACCGCTTCATGGGACGAGTGTCTTCAACAAACTATCAGAAGCAGGGAAGCAGACTCTGCTCGCTCCCGTGCTAGCATCAGTGTTGCTAATGCGCCTGACACTTTTCACTTAATGCAGCTCTAAGAGGAGGTATGGAACGAAGGAATTTATATTTATGTATCACTGATAGCCTTTGTCTATCAACTACCTACACCTAACACTAAAGGCCGACTCTACTGTCCAGACCTAGGGCCTTCAGTCTCAAGAGTGGCACCGGGGAAGTTGATGCCATAGTCGAACATACTCCTGCCCGCCGGCACGCCCTGGCACCCACCGCCGAGATCCTTGAGAGGCTGCAGCGCCGGCCCAAGGCGACTGTCGACGGCAGCCAAAGCAGCCTGCAGAGCAGCACCTCCAAGAAGCTTGCTCAAGAAAGACGGGGTATCCGCCTGCACAGCCTGCGCGATGAAGCAGCCCATCTTCTTGGGGTCGTTCAAGTCCTCTGCGAAGTTGATGAAGCCGCCAGTAATGTCACCCAAGTTGACACCTGAGAAACTGTTGACCTCACCAGTGTTGCCACCGACCTGGCAGTTCAACGGGTACGCGGCACATTGCTGTGCGGTCGAGACACCAATGTCTGCAAGCGTCCATGGGTCGAGCGGGTGGCGCTTGTACCAGTTGTCTGGGATGCGCTCATAGCCGTACTTGTACGTCAACGCACCGCTGGCGTCGCGCTTGTAGCTGAAGAAGTCCATGAATACATCTTGCGTCAGGAATCCGCGGGGAGCCTCAGCGCTGTGGTTCGCAAGCAAATGGTACGCGAACATGTGTGCGCCAAAGGTGAATGCAACACCAGCGTACGCGGGGCTGAAGTAGAATGGGTTGGTAGCGATGCTGTGCTTTTTGCGGTTGTTGGAGTGCTCGGCGAGGACGCGGGGCGTGATCAGACCTCCTGCGCGCTGGTTGGAAAGGTCAAAGAGCTCTTGCATGTATTGCGGGTATGAGCGGCAGTTTGAGTTCATCTCGGGTGCGAGCCAATCGCCACGGGTGATACTGGCATCGCCCTCACTCCTTAGATGGCCGTATGCGCAGATTCCTGTTTCGTTGCCAAGGAGGTCACCGACCAGTGGAGGAAGAGAACTGGTCTTGTCTGAATGGGGACCGATGCTCCAGCGGCCGGAGATGGGGTCGCCGTTGAAGAAGGCCGTTGCGGTCTCGAGGAAGATTGTGGCTGTCTTGTCGAGGCCGAAAGCTTGCCAAAGACCGGTGTTGATGCTTGCTGCATCGACAACACCGTCGCGCTGGATGTAGCCGTGGTTTGCGGCGGCGTTGAGGCCGGAGCAGGGACCGCGGATGTCTCCTTTGCCTGGGGCGCGCCACTCGTGCTCGCCAGATGTGTTGACGAGTTGGAGGGCGGGGTCGAATTGATCGAAGAGGGCGTGGTTGGGTGTGCCTGGGTATTCTGGGAATGGGATGATTTGAGGAGTCGTTTGACGCTCTTGGATGCGCTTCTCAGCGACCATACGAGCTATCTCGGGGAAAGCTGAGACCAGCAGAGCTGGCCCGGTAAGGAGCACAAGAGATGTCTTCGCGAACATTGTGGAATGCGGTGATGGAGTGTGAAGAGATGCTGATGATAGTGAGCAGATCTCGCCTATCTTATATTTCTTTGCATCCACGGCTGCAAACTAGCGCAAGTTCCCCACTGTGGAGTTAAGGGTCACTCCCAACGCTCCTCATAGCCGGTGTCTTCGGTCTCGAACGAATTCGAAGGTCTTCTCGTGGTTGATCCGCTAGTACATGGACTACTTTGTCAGTGTGCAGCCAACAGTCTCGGTGGCGACCATAATCCATTGTTTGGGGTAGTTGTAGAACCGTCCCAAGCCAGTAATCGCCCACGTCGATCTGCAAGGCTCACATGGCTGGGGTATAGTCGCCAAGACTGGAGCTACAAGCGGCAATGCGCTATCGAGGGACAACGGATGCCACCCCGTGATCAGCAGTGTAGTCAGACCCTGAGTTAGCTGCAAAATAAGTCCGGGGATGACAGAGTGCCCTCTGAAGCCCTCTTGGTTGCCTAGTTACCCCGATGTAGTAGTTGGGAGACCTTGGGCAAGGAGTCGTTGAGAACTTGCACTATTCTCTTGAGAGGCGACTGGGGATAGTGGCATGTTGGAATAGCACGACGGCGAGTCATGGTTGTCGCGGGAAGTGTAAAGTGAAGTTGCGAAGATCCCCTAGTAGTCTCCTACAGCCTCCGATTTCTCTTGACGTGGATTACAGAAGTCTTTCTTGACGCGAAATGGACTGGAGGATGCATCATCCGATGGGAAACAATTCAGTTTGCTACATCGGGTAGTTCCCGCGCGGTGCAACCCAGCGAAGATGGATGCCATCCACGACATACCCCTAGCCAACTTCTTTTTCGTTATTACCGCCCGCTTGTCCGGAGCCTGGAGATGACTTTAGTTCTTTTTCGATGGAAAAAACATCCATTGTTGGCACGCCAAAAGTGGCACTTGGCGGACAGACCCGGTGAAACTTTGCAAACTGCCTGTCAAGATGTGAATAGACTCCACGACGCAAGTCCGTTTGACCCACTGGCAACATGCGCTATAGACGGAAGGCACCGTGTGAATCTGATCAAGATGACGGAGCGGCGTGGCGTCCAGCGCAAGTGTAAAGATAAGCTCGACGAAATCGTTGTTTAGCGCGACGCTAGCGGAAACTACCCCGGGTCTCGTTCATTCCGTGGTTCAGATCGACCATCAAATTGCCCGGCTGGTGCTTAGGAAGATCCACGACTGGCACTTCTGACATACGAGAACCATGCCATTGGCTAATAGTCCCAGCAACAGCGCCCTGCGCCGGCGACCCTTACATGGCGTCGCCGTCTTCTCCAGATAATGAAGAATTAGTAATCTACCTAGGTAGTTTTCAGGGGAAAGTGTACCGGATAACCCTCAGTTGCCGAACAACTACCGAAGAAGATCTCGCCAATCAGTGGTCTTGCTTACTGCTCACCAGTAGCCATGAGTTCATCAGTGAGCTGTCTTGCATCGACTACTCGATAACCAGTCCATTTGTGGAAGTTTGTCGCGTCGCAGTGCAGTCATTTTGGCATTCCCATACGACCGAGTTCCATACCTAGATAGGTAGAGAAGCACTTTCTTCAACCTCGTCTATCCATAGGACGACGAACGTCGCAACATCCGGCAAGAACACGAGGCTCAAACTATGCGATGAGAAGGTTCGCCCATACCCATAGTCTAGGTAATTTGATGCGCGCAACATCTGCAAGTGCCGTCAGCCTCGCCACCATACCGGCCTCTTACTCTTTGAAGACTCAATCGTCACTACCCACGCATCCTCCACTAATCTCAAATACTACAAAGTGTAAACGGCACCAAGGCTTGGCAAGATGTTCGGTCCCTGATAACAGTCACCTAAAGAGACATTAGCACCAAGCGTTCGGCAGTGCATGGGGTCTATCGTCGTTGCCTGTACGTCCGTAAGACTCCCGAGGCTATGAAGCCATCCCCGCATATCTTCTCAGTACTACTAGCCCAAGAACCTCGGGAACTTCGCCGAATCTCCTCCTATGTTTACAGGACACGGAAAGGCTTTCGTGATGCGAGCCTTTTGGAAAAGTTTTTGGACTTTACTCAGTGATATTATTTGGGAGCTTCCTGGTCTTGATATACTCAATTTAGTGGTGTCTGACGGGGAGATGGCTGACTAGCTAGGAGCTCATGTAGGTCCACCTGCATCAGTGATGAAGGGGGCTTGCTGCCCGTTCGTTGGGCAGCAAAGAACAAGCAGAAAGAGCGAGTGTGACACGATCTCTGTAGACTCTCATTCTTTGATGCGCCACTTGCAACTACTCTCGCTTGTCAAATGTGCTGGTCTTAAAACGCGGGCACCACGCAACTGAGTAAGACGGTAAATAATCGCAATGCATGTGTGTTTACCACACGCTGTTGTTCAAATTGAGTAGCAGTATATTGCTGCTTGCAACTACACGAACATGTTCAAGCCCTGACCTTCATTCAATTTCATAGGTCGCACGCTTCAGGATGTTTGAGGTCTGGGCCGCTCAGTGCAGCATGCAAAGTCACCCTTAAACTGTTTTAACATGTCACCATATCGACATACGTGGTTCTAAATTAGCAAACCGACAGGAAGTTTGTGTAGGGTCTTATGTTTGCTGTCTTCTGCGACTTTAAGATAAGATGATTCGTCACTGAGGAGATCGTGCCTGTCGCCCCACCACCATGGCAGACATGACGGTACGAAACACGGCGAACCTAATCGCCAATATCAATAATGGTATCATGGTAGGCCAGAACTTCGGAAATATCAACCATGAGTCCGGATGTCATACCGATGAGCAGCGATTCGCCAAGTGTACCAAAGCGCTCTGGGTAACAGACCCTGATGTCGACCGCGATTATGTCGTGAACACCAAGGGTAGCCCCGTTACGGGCACGTGCGACTGGCTTTGGCGAGACGAAACCTTCTCGGAGTGGCTGAACGGGTCATCATCCAAGACCCTATGGATTGCGGGTGGACCTGGAAAAGGCAAAACAATGATTTCGGTTCATATCACGGCCTTGCTCGAGAAACGATGCAATGTTCGCAATCAAGTCTTCGCTTACTTCTTCTGCGACCATCGGGATACAAATCGCAATTCGGCCTGTGCAATCCTCCGCACTCTAATACATCAAATCATCGACCAAAAACGAGGTCTGCACAGCAAGGTCTACCCCTACGTTCGGGAGGATCGAAGAGCTGAGGCTACGATGCAGTCGCGCGATGCCCTTTGGCGAATCGTTACCGAGCTACTGCACGAGCAGGAGCTTGAAGGTCTGGTGTATCTGATCGACGGTCTTGATGAGTGCGACGATGGAACAGCTCGTTGGTTGGCACAGAAGCTGTCCAATCTCCATACCGATAGCCCCAACAAGTGTATGAGAAACGTGAGGATCCTCGTTGCAAGCCGGAATATTACAAGCATGAACTTTTCGTCCAAAATCGACCTAGACACTATACAAGACCCGGGCTACAACGAGAGTATCGCCAGATTCATCGATGCGCGAGTAGCTGAAATGGCAACTCAGGTGCCCGGTTGCACACGAGCGCTACAAGATCAAGTCAAACGAATCCTACAATCACGCTCTGGCAACTCGTTCCTTTGGATTGGTTGCGTAATGGACGAATTGACCATCAAAGAGACGCCTACAGAGATCGAGAGTTCAATAGCCGAGTTCCCTACCGGACTTCGCCCTCTCTATAACCGACTCCTTCATCAGGTACATCCAAACCCGCAGTATCGCTCGGAATGTATCAAACTGCTGCATTGGGTAGCACAAGCGATGAGGCCCATGAACCTAGCGGAACTAGCAGCGGTGTTGGGAATCCGCGGGTCAGAAACCATATCAGTGGAGCAGAGACTCAGTGATCGTATCACATGGTGTAGGTCTTTGCTCATCATCAGACGTACCCTCGATACTACTCACGCGCCTACGGTCGATCTGGTTCATTATTCACTAAAGGAACATCTATTTGAGTCGAGCGCGGAAGACGACGCCGAGATTCGGCTATTTTTCGGTCAAGCAGATGAAGTACACCACCAAATCGCGCACACATGCTTGGACTATCTCTACAATAATCTCTCGGATAAAGAATACTGGTTCTGCGATGATGAAGATACAAATACGCGTCTTCCTCTATTATCATACGCCACAATCTACTGGCCAACCCATGCCAGACTCATCAAAGCAGAGTCAGAAGGCCTGGCTATGGATCTGCTAGACAGCAGAGCCGATACTTTCTTCAAACAAGGTGGCATGGCATTCACCAGCTGGTGGTGGTCATCCCAAATGGTAAGAAGTCCTTCAATGAAACGGGAACTGCCTGCCCAGTTCGGTGATCCCGAAAAGGGTCCTTCCCTCAAGGAGCGGGAGACCATCCACCCAACGCATCTTTCGGCAGCTCTAGGCGTGCTGCCGTGGATGGTCTACTTCTCTACCTTTCCCGATGTACCGCGTTCAATTGTCGTAAACCTCTTCGTGAATCCAGCAGGGCAATCTCTACTGAATTATGCTGCCCACGGAGGTCACGAAAACGTGGTCATTTGGTTGTGTGATCGGGGCGCAACCGTAGACGATAGATCAGTTTTTGCCGCTGCCATTGAGGGTCATGCCGGCGTCCTGAAGGCTCTTCTTGATCGTGGAGGTCGCCCAAAAGTCAGAGCATACAATCCTTCGACTAAGAAATACGAGAATGAAACGGCACTCTGGGATGCGTGCGGTCAAGGTCTAGAAGACGTCGCGCATGTACTACTAGATGCCGGCGCTGATCCAGATGAGCTCAATCCCGCGCCACCAAATTTGATCGAGGTATGGGCAGCATTCACGCCTGCCTTTGTGGCAGCCTGCTTCGGTGGCAGCGAGCGTCTTGTGAAGACCTTGTTTTCCAGAACTAAAGACCTGCACCTTTACCTGGATTCTGGCATGAATTTAGCGATTTTATTCGGCCATGAAGCTGTGGTTCGATTTCTGTTACCAAAAATCAGTCCGGTAGTCCACCAAAGCGAGCGAGAACAGAGATTTCTGTCTCTGGCCATGCAATATGGAGTGTCTTCATCCATCCTCGAGCTCTTATTGAACTCTTTTGGTTGGGGCGCAGACTTGGTGGTTAGATTGGGCAGCGACGGTTTCTGGGTCGAGAACCATGAGATTCTCCAGATGTTGCTTAAGAGAGAAGTTGACATGACCATGTCTCTTCATATTGCGGCTAAACACGGTTCCCTTCGGGCTGCGAAGTTGCTTATCGCAAATGGAGTAGAAATCAACGGCACCGACGAACAAGGAAAGACACCGCTCATCGTCGCAGCTGAGAGCGGGTTTGCAGAGGTTTTAGAGCTGCTACTGAAGAACGGGGCATCCGCCGAGATTGCGGATCGGGATGGCAATGATGCTCGTATGAGTGCTGAGGCCAAAGGGCATGCACATGTAGTTCGCGTCATTGATGAATGCGCTGTCAAGATGGAGAAGTAACTCGTAGCGCTGCCAACTTCGCCATGTCGCTTTCGACCGAAATCACTTAACGTATGTTTTAGTATGACTTCCTCCTTTTAGGCTTGATACTTGGATGGGGGAGCCACTTACCAACGGTGATCATGTGCTGATAACGCGGTTTGCTAGATTCATGTGATGACCTGCGCTGAGATCTATAACTAGAAGAATCATAACCTTGCACTCCTGCGATATCAATCGTCTTAGCATATTCCAGCATGGCAGAAGCAGCCGGACTTACTCTTGGTGCTCTTGGCATTGCTGCACTCTTCAATAACGCCCTTGAATGCTTTCAGTATGTTCGTGTAGCCAAAGACTTTGGCCAAGACTTCGAGACATACCGCATCAGGCTCCATCTATCCGAGATTCGGCTCTCTCACTGGGGCAGCGTTGTCGGTGTTACAGACACGGACAATGAGACACCTCTTCATTGCTCTCCGGGTGAGCAAGAGATCGCGCAACGGACGCTTCGGCAGATCATCAAGCTATTCCAGGCAACAGAGGATAAGGCCAAAAGCTTGGAGAGAAGATCATCGGAGCCTGAACTCAGCGATCGCATGAGGAAGTTGTGTGATAATATGAACAAGCTGGCTCTGGGCAGAACGAACAAAGCATCCAAGGCGAAGGACGGTTTGTACACCAAAACGAAATGGGCGCTGTTCTCTCGCGAGGGTTTTATCAAGCTCGTTGAATCTATTACCAACTTAGTCAACGAGCTCATAGCCGCTTTTCCAGATGGTATCAAGAAGAATAGGGAGCGATTGTGCAACGAAGACGTAGAGGAGCTTGTTGCGAATGAACCGGAAGTCTCAACTCTGCTGAAGGACGCTTTGGGCGAGGATGACGAACAGATGCAAAGCGCATTACAAAAGGCTGCTGCTGCGACGCATCAGAATACCACTACGTTCTCTGGTTCTGGTGAGAACAAAGGGCTGCAACTAGGTCAGAATTTTGGTTCGATGACGAACACTTTTGGTAGTTAAGGCGCACAGAGGGAAAGAACGATAGGAAATACCATGTCGTTTGTCAAATATTGCCATTTGACCACAGCTGGGTTGGTGTTGTCGTTGTGAAAGTCTCGAGCGCGTCAGGTGCGTTCTCTCCCGGCATGACGTCGCGTGCCATCGGAACTGAGCCCCACAACGTTCCGAGAAATTTTGGCTTTCACCAGTCATCACTCTAATGCCCACTCGCCATCCCCGCATCCCAAATGTCAAACCCACGAATAATTCACTCCATATCGCTTCCATACGTTCTTTGGTGCAAGTCGCTGCATCAGAGCCCCGCCGCGTCCCGATTACCACGCTGAGGAGATCAATTAACTCCTTCACGCCCACCGCCAAACTTTACGAGCCGATTACTGCGACCGCCCCAACTAAGTACAATATCTCCGTCGTAACGATGCCTGAAACTAGCGTTCGGCGCGTGGATCCTCAAAAACTGGGGAAAATCACGTTCAAGAAGTCAGAGGACTTGATCGACGAATGGGACATAAAATACGACCACACAGAGGGCGAGGCTAATGCCGGAACACTGAAGCAAGCAGCGGAGGAGCTTGTGAATACGAACACCCCGGTCGCCTTTCCAACAGAGACCGTATACGGACTTGGCGCGGATGCGACAAGAAGCGCGGCGGTCAAGGAGATCTTCGCGAGCAAAGGACGACCAGCCGACAACCCTTTGATTGTCCATATACATTCGTTGCCTCAGCTGCGAGCGCTGCTTTTGGGCAAACTAGACGTCGTAGGAGACGGGAAGGATGTTGGAAAGGACCCCATACCGGATATCTACAGGCCGGTGATTGAGCGCTTCTGGCCTGGACCGCTTACTATCATTCTACCGGCCCCTGAGAATTCGATCCTCGCACCAGAGGTGACAGCAGGTCTTCCGACTTTTGGCGCACGGATGCCGCGTTCTATCATCGCCTTGTCCTTGTTACGGCTATGCGGTCGCCCACTCGCCGCACCATCCGCAAATGCGTCCACACGACCTTCGCCCACCGCTGCGGAACACGTTTACGACGACTTGAACGGCAAGCTAAATCTGATAATCGATGGCGGGCCATGCGAAGTGGGAGTTGAAAGCACAGTCATAGACGGACTATCGAGCCCACCTGCGATACTGCGACCGGGTGGCGTCACTGTGGAACAACTACGGCAATGCCCGGGATGGGAGAATGTAGTTGTCGGATACAAGGATAAGCAAGCGGAAGACTCGAGTAAACCACGCGCGCCTGGAATGAAATACAGACACTATAGTCCGAAGGCATCGGTTCTTCTGTTCGAGGCAGGCGCGAGTCAACCTACATCGGACGAGCTCAAGAGCAAGAGGCGCATTGGTGTCATTCGGACCAAGAGTTGGGATAAGGTGTTGGGTTTGGGTGCCGAGAAGGTGAAGACATCGGATACGAATGGACCAGGAATTTGCGCTTCACCAGATACGGCCGCTTCTCTGGACGCCAACGACTCGCCGTCGCGCCTTTCGAACCTTCTGCGATCTGTCACCCAGCACCAAATACCGCACGCCGACCACTACATTGTGAAGCCCGAGGCAGTCCAGGTTTGGGAGATCAATCTTGGCGCGAAGACTGAGGATGTTGCCAGAGGCCTATTTTCAGCACTAAGAGAGCTCGACAAGAAAGGCGTCGAGGTCATATATGTGGAGGGAATCGACGATAAAACAGGTGACGATATTGCCGCTGCGGTCATGAACCGACTCAGAAAAGCGGCAGAGATCAGGACATGAATGGGAGATGAACATGGCGCACATCTTGATTGAATGAGCACGCTTCCAATCCTCACAACCTTGACGCTTCACTGCTGATTGTCGGTATCGATATTCGACCACAAAAGATATGTTGACACGTCGATGAACAACTCAGTGATGCATTTAGCGAGTGTGGATATCTGTTCGCGATAAAACGACACTCCGACACCTCTCCTTTGCGACATACATCGATCCTCTTACTATTTTGCAAATATATTAGCGCCGCTACCATGTCCACTCGCAATATGTATCTCGGCCTTGTTGCACTATTAGCCAGCTGCGCTCTAGGAGGTCCCAACGACGAGACCAGCAATCAAACATCTACGACAACCGATCAGCTGCCCCCAACAAGCAGTTCCACCGCGCACATTAAGGTTACTGTAACGACCACAACCACACTACCTTCTATGCCGCCTCATGAGACTGGCAACTATACCTCCGGATTCGCCGTCCCACCACCACCAGGCTCAGTGACGGCACCGTCCGATGGACCTGACTACAGTAAACCCACTAGCACAGCGGTTACTCTGATATGCCCCCATCCCACTGAACCATGCATTATCGACGGTATTCCACTATGGCCTTCTGGTACCACTTCTCTCGTTCTACCGTCCTTTACATATGATCCTTTACCGACCTCCATGGCTTCTGGATCTCTTCCAGGTGCAGATAGTACGATGGTGACTGATACACTTGCCACGTCTGCCAGCCCAACCATTCCAATGGTTAAAAGTACTACTTGCTCCCACACCATGTCGCATACCCTACCTGAAAATTCTAGCTCTGGCATTCCCTGGATACCCGAATTGCCTTGGATAACGCGCTGGGAAACCTTGAGCATACCGTCAGGAAGCCTCCCTGCTTTCTCGGTATTGAGCAGTACCGCATCTGGAATACCAGCGACACCATTCGCAATACCGATTATCTCTGGGTCAAATACTTCCGAATTCTACTGGCCTACAAGGAGCGCGATAGCTACCAATAGCTCAGATACTTCGTCAGCATCGATAACTCCACCTAACGTAAGTACTATAACCACCGCTTCCGCAATTCTCTCTACATCCTCCACCACATCAGCTCACTCACGTTACAAGGCCAAGTCAGCCCAAGCTTCCGAAGCTAAAGTACCCGTGAAAGTTCGAGACACAGCATCAAGGGCACGCAACATCAGCGCTATGCATTCTGCCATCCTCACTCTGAAGAGCAAGTACATCGACGCATCAGATTTCAGAGGTATGGATAACGCAACACCTTCTGCGGGACGAGATGAAGAGAGCAGGGCGACTAAGAGGAGGATAAACTACTGGACCCGCTTCTTCGCTGTTGCGGAACCTGTGAGACGGGTGGTGAAAGACTGTTTGGCCTGCGATCAAGAGGGGGAGGTTACTTGCTTGCCTGGCGCAAAGTATACATGGTGTACGGATGGGTGTGCTGTGACACTGAAAATGGGCTGTGATATGGTCTGCAAAGAGGGTGTCATACGTAAGGAAGGAAAGCATTGCGTACGATGAGGGTATTCCTAGATATACTGTTGTATTGTAATGACCATGTCCTCACTTCTTGGGAAGCAGCAAAAGTCTTGCACGTGTCTACACCCACACGTTCCTTCCACACAACTGCGTGAAGGTTTGCCACCCATCGTCAAGCTTTCAGGGTCTTCACGCCGACGTTTCACCACGACAACGTCAACCCGAAGAACCCAAAGTCAACCGACTTAGCAGTCTGCGCAATGAACTGTTGCCACCAGCGTTTCGGAACTCACTGGCTTTCGGCGAACCGCTGTTTGTCTTGAAACACCTTGCGATAGTGAACCACATGTTCGACTGCCGTCTCGGAGCGACATGATGCGATCGGTCCCAGTCCTTGGAATTCCAAAGAGGCTAAGTTACCATACCGGTACAGGTGCCTGACGATCGACACTGTACGTCACCTGCAGGGCAGTGCATCCTAGCCGACCAGCCACCTTGGATGATCTGGGACACGCAGTTTCACGACACTTCGGGGCTTACCATCGTACACATGCAGAGAAGCCCTGCATCACGGCTTGTTCAGCTCGTAAGTTTGTGCCAAAGACCGTGTGCTCTGCGATCTACCGATATCACGTGCGCACCTGGGCACTGTCAGATTCTGGACCACAGAATCCAGGCCACCCACGCACCACGCCCGGGTCGTTGCTTCCGATGCCGAACCGTGCCCACGATCCAGAACTGTCGGAGTGAGTGGAGATCATTACGTGTACTCGCGACCTCGCGACGAGCTATAATATCGTAACCTCGTCGTTATTCCCAGCCCCAAGGTTTTCAGAACGACAAACAATGGCCAACGTAGACACATGTCATGCCCAGCTGTTGGGAGATGAAGTTTGACACACCGGGCGCAGAGCGCATGCGTTAGGCTGCGCAAGCCCAGCAGCGCTTATGCAGGAACCTCCTTCCTATCGATAGGTTATATCGATAGCGCAGGGCTGGTTGACAGTCGCCTCGACTCAACTCGTATTGGATGCGTGTTAGTGTGCCAGCGAATGAGGTGCTTCACCGTGGAGAATCGATTCTCTTGTTGCTGGCACAAAATCGGGGAGGCAGATCTCGAGCGCAATGTCTTCAGGCGCATATGAGGGGAGTTCTCGTTGTGATCGTGTGACGTCGGTGGAAGCGTCACAGCTGCGTTATCTGTTCATCGGCAGACAGAAGAAAACAAAGACGTTCGGAGCCCGATAGAGGGAGGGATATGTCGGTAATTGTGACAAGGACCAGCCTAGCGGAGCGCTTTCGCGTGCGTACCACGTTGTCGTTGTGGTTGACGTGGGTGTAAGGTCACCGTTGATGCGACCCGACACCTTGTCCATGAACACCGGAAATAATCTTATCGTGACTTGTGAATCTGTCGACGCTTCAGAGCACTGCGAACATAACAATGGATAACAGTAGTGTGCTAAGCTGAGCTGAAGTGCATGAGCAAGGGAGCCGGCTGAGTACGAGGTCGCGCGCGGAGGGCCTGCCGTGCCACATCGGTTGGTATTTTTGCATCGGACCGCCTCAGTGTTGACTCGTCGATACGAGAAAGCCTCGTCAGCATCGCATACGCCCTCTCGGCACACCTCCAGTCCTGAGCCCCTTTGGGTCGCGAGCCCAAACACGGTTAACCGCTCAACAAACAGGACGATGGTCGCCGGGATGAGGGCCTCGTCATCGCTCGATAGAACTGGTCAGACTCCCGCAGAGGCGATCACACTTTCGGAAATGAGAGCGTCTGCGTCTAGAATACTCGATCAACCCGCGCGGTCTTTGCGCCCGGCCCCACCCCTTTGGATTCCGCGAGTACCAAGGCTTGTGAAGGATCTGTGGTCCTGTCACTATGTGGGACCAACGCACAGCGACCGCCGTCGACGACATTCACGTGGGCGACGTGTCTGACACTCTGACAGGATGACTTTCACATCTATCGATAGAGCAGCTCGCAGACGCAAAAAGCAGATCTGACACCGAAACCGACGCAAACGGTATACGGCCCCTGCTGGCATGCGTGCGTGAGCGGGTGTACCTGAATGTGGCGGCTACGTGAAACGCACGGCGCCATGCGGTAGCTAATCAAGACGGACCACGACCTTAGCGGCTCAGGCCTCTTCTGAGCTGTGAATGGCCACATGGGTTATTTCCACCTGAACCCCTGGCTTACCCGCTTGCGCAGAGCCTGAAGGTGTGAAAGGTTCTAGCCAGGCGCATGTGCGAAAGGATCGAGCGCCCGGATTCCCCGCGAAAAATATATCAAGTTGAAAATCACCCGCCCTCTCCGTTCTTTTTGTCACATCCTGATCCTCAGACTCACACCAAACACGGTCGTTGCCTGTCCACTCCTTTGAGCATTTCTGCTCGGTACATTCTCTTGTCGCTCTCTGACTACCACGTTCATTGTTCGACTGTCCAACGATTTCGCGCTCAGGTTAGCCGCACACTGCTTTTACTCATCGATACCCTACAAGCAAAGCGTAACGCACATCCTTAACCTGCAATCTACAACGAACATCGACATGTCTGCCTCTGTCAAGTTCACCGGCCTTTTGGCCCTCGCCTCCGCTGTTGCGGCTGTTCCCCACTACCAGCACGAGAAGTTCCACCACAGGGCTGCTTACCCTGTCAACGGATGGGGTAACTCAAACACCACTGCCATGGCTCAGGCTACCGGTACTGGTGCCTACCCTGGTGAACAGACTACCACCATCGACACCACTTCGACCTCCACCTACACTCAGTACGAGACCGTCTACCAGAAGCCTTCCGGTCTTGCGGGAGGCAACAAGCAGGTCGAGGCCGCTGATGCTTCGACTGGTGTCTGTGGCGCAACCGTCACTGTGACTGCTTCCGAGAAGGTCACTGTCACCGTCACTCCCGGAGGCGGTGCTGCTGTGCCCACCTCATCTGCCGCTGGCAATGGATACGGAGTCCCTTCTTCAGTCATGCCCGTCGCTGAGTCAAGCTCCACGGCCGCTGAGTACCCTGCCGCTCCTCCTGCCGACAAGCCCACCTCCTCGGCTACCATGAGCACGGTCGAGACCCCCGTAGCTGAGGCCACCACCTCTCCCGCTGCCGAGTACCCCGCCGCTCCTCCTGCTGCTTCGTCTTCCAAGGCTGAGTACCCTGCCGTTCCTGAGGCCCCCACCTCCAAGACCCCTGAGATCACCGCATCCGCTCCCCAGAAGCCCGTCGAGTCGGCCACCTCTGTCGCCTCTTCTTCTGCTGCTCCTTCGCCCACTGCTGGCAACAGCTACAGCGGCGTCAAGCGCGGTCTCGCCTACAACGAGGCCCACCTCTGCACCACCTTCGGCAGCAAGTTCGGCTTCGGTTACAACTGGGGCCAGGTTGAGAGCAACGACATCGGCACCTCCTTCGTCCCCATGATGCACGGTCCCAGCAAGTCCTCTGCCGACGAGTGGCTCGCCAACGTCGACACAGCCGTCAAGAAGGGATCCACCGCCGTCATGGGATTCAACGAGTGCGACCACACCTCGCAGTGCAACCTGAGCCCCGAAGCCGCCTGCACCGCCTGGAAGGAATACATGAACCCCGTCAAGGCCGCCCACCCCGAGATCACCATTGTCGGACCCTCCGTTACCAACGGTAAGTTTCGGCTATACGAATTGCATGTGAGACACATACTGACTTGACTGAAAAGGCCCTGCCCCGATGGGATTGGACTGGCTCAGCCGCTTCAACGACTGCTGCCCCGACGCGCACGTCGACGCAACAAACATCCACTTCTACGACATCTACGACGAGCAGACCATCGACCGCTTCCAAGCCCAAGTCGAAAAGGCCGCGTCCATGGGTAACAAGAAGGTCTGGGTCACAGAGTTCGGTCTCAACCCCGGCAGCGCCTCTGAGGAGCAGGCCGCGGCCTTCCTCAAGCAAGCCATGGCGTACCTCGACGGCTCCGACGATGTCCAGGGTTACTCCTGGTTCATGGTCGGCGACGGTGAGAACCAGCTTAACTCTGGTAGCGGCCTCTCGGCTGTTGGCAAGGTCTACGCTGGGGCTGCTTAAGTGCCTAACTTCCTCTTTCTGTCTCTTCTTTTCGATACCATGAGACGGATGGGTTAGGCGTTTTTGTGTGTGGTTAAAAGACTTCTAGATGTTTGTTGTACGTGTGTATATTTTTGGGTATATCCTTGGGATCAGGCTTTGTTCTCTGGGGAAATTCATGGGCATAGAACGAACGTATGCGCACTCTGATGCAAAACGATCGCTTCAGCATATTGCTTTTTTGTTTAACTTCTAGTTACAGGCGTGTTTGAGGGGGTGTGGTGGATTGGTGTAGCGATGTATGTGATGAATAGAAGACTGTTGATTTCAACTCTTGTCCCTTGCATTCTGTGACTTGCAGAGAGCTGACGCGGTGAAGTTGGGTCGGAGAGAAGCATTCAGTGACGTAAGCCCCAATGACGCTGCTGCTATGTTGCTTCTTCTCTGTTCTAACGACGAAGCACTGATGCATCAATCTTAATCTCACGTCTTGTTCTAATTACATAGAGATTATGCAGTTAGCTTGACACCGCCACGGCGACGTACACACGTGAAGTCTCGCAAGGCCAACCATGTCCTTCCTAACACGCGTACCCCTTGGTATCAACCGCGACGATGCTCCCCGGCGCCACAACACTCCCAGTGACAGGCATGGCCAAACCTCCAGCAGTGCTCACGTATAGCACATCCCGATCCCTGTCTGTTCTCCCAAACGCTGCCGCGGTATCCCCTGCGAACGTCACTGACCCTTTTGCACCCGCCACTACCTCCATCTTCTTCCCACCTGGACTCACAGCAATGACTGTGTTCTCATAGTTACTCACAGCCCACAACGTGCCATCTAGACCAAACGTGAAGTCATCTACAAAGTTGGCCACCGCAGTCAGATTGGCGTATAGTTCCACGACTGCCTTGGGACTATGCGATATGTACCCTCTTGAAGTGATGGGAACGCGGTATATGGCGATGAGGTCCGAGTTACTGAAGTACACCCACCCATCGCGGATCTTGAGACCATTGGCACCAAACCCCACGGTACCATTGTGCATTTCTGGGTAAGGCTTGAGTTCTGGTCCATCGGCGATGATCTCGCTGGTCCCAGTTTTGGTATCGAAGCGGAAGAGGAGGCCATATTGAGAATCTGCCATTATGACAATGGAAGGGTCAGAGGGCAGGGTCGCGGCGCCGTTGAGTAACTTTGCCCGCGGTACGTTGGCGATTTTGTGGACTGTAGGTGTGGAGACGTCGGGAGAGGCGAAGGCGGCTTGCCATACGGACCAGGTACCGGCGTAGCCAGTTGAGTTGGTTGTTGCATTTCCGGCGATGATGGCATATGTATCTGGGGCTGTTTCTGTGATTCCAAGGAGATCAGTAACGTTGGCGGCATGGAACTCGTAGATGGGTTCTAGGGTTGCGTTTCCTAGTGACGGGTTCTTGATGGTGTAAAGTATGGGGACTGGAGCCAGTTGGGTGACGAGTAAATCGCCATTTGGCCGGACGGCGAGGTTCTCCAGCCAGGTTGGGACTGTTGAAAGCTGAGCTACTGTTCTGGCTGGGAGAGGAAGGGCGGGACCAGGGAGAGGTGAGGATGATGTGCCGAGACCTAAGAGGGCCAAAGACAGTAGGGAAGTCAGTCTTCTAGGGAACATTGCGCTGTGCTATAAAATGGAATGGTAGTCGTATCTTGTGGTGTAGTTAGCGAGATACATAGGGCGCTTTCGACTGCCATGTATATATATACCAAAGGGAACTGTTGGATGCATAGTCATGATGAGCATCTCGTATCTAGTTAGTAATAATTTTGATGCCCTTAGTGATAGGTATGTCAGCATGCTTTAATTGTGCACAGTTCATGTCCCTCCACCTTTGTAGATTGGCGTTTGACTAAAGACCTTACACATCGCCATGAAGCGTTATTCAGCACATAGCTGTGCGTGATTGGATCCGTCTCGGACAACGACTCCACTCGTCAACGCAGCCGACCGAGGGTTGGCCTAGCATTAACACTGTAGTAAACATAAGAGGTACATTTGCCATGCGTTGCCGTTCGGAAAGATGCAGATAGGAGATGTCAAGAAGAAGGCGCGACTGAGAGCCAGTGACATCACCTTGGAAGCGTGCTTTGTCATCCCACGTGTGCTGTACCAAATCAGCCGTCATGACGCCACCTGGGCATGCAGATTCTCTGGTGCCTTCCGATCTGCCAGCATCTCATTAGCCATATTTCTTGCGACCGCAGCTGCCTGTATCGACCAATCTAAATTCCGAATTATAGAAATGTATCCAGTGCCAATCGCCTATCGATAACGCTCCTTCGACTGAACTGCTTGTGCCTAATGACGATGATCTTCCACAAGTACCGAATGTCCAGATATTGTGCGCATCTCTTCAAACACCCATGGCAAGCACATGTTGCCTACGCCAATCTTACACGAGGTATAAAAGTACAGTAACGCCGTCCATACGCCTGCGATGGAGGTTGCTAGCCCGCCCTTATTGGTTCTCTTGCTTGGTTTGTTGTTGCTGTTGTGATTGCTGCATGCCTTGCTGCATCGCATTCTGCCCCCAATTTTGCTGCAGGCCTGCACTATTCGGTGGTTGTGACGCATTCGAGTTCATCCGTTGCGGCCCGGGCGACTGCTTCATTTGTGGGGTCTGCCCCTTCCATCCTGGGAACAGCTCCTGCAGTTTGGTATATAGCTTGACGAGCTCGGCGGGCGAAGCGGGTATCGACATGATGGCGGGCCCCGGTTGTATTTGTTGGCCAGGCTTTGGTACCTTCTCCGCATTCTGCGCGAGGTAGGCGAGGTTTGCCTGGAGGCGGCGCATATAGCTGGGCTTGTTAGCTGACGTCGCGCAAGGGATGCGCAGCACTCACTCTACGTATTCCTTGGATGGCTGCGGTTTGTCGCCTTCGGGCTTCCCTCCTGGCGTAGGCCCTACTTGGCCTGCCTTGCCCTGCGTCTGGAGCTCGCAGACTTCTTTGATGAGGATGCTGTTGATGTCGAGGAGGGTTGCGACGCGGTCTGCATTACGCGCCGGGTTGGCGGGCGACACTGGCGACGGGGGCACCTGCTTCACGGGCGTCTGGACCTGGGGCGGCTCCGCTTTGACGGGCAACTGGAGGTTCATGGGGGTCTGCTGGCCGTTGGTCTGCATGCTGCTGGGCGAGGGCTGTGGCTGCGGTGTCGCATAGGGTGCCTGGCCAGTGGTGCTGGCAGGGGAGGCCGTCTGGCGGTTCTGGGCAAACTGGTGGTGGGCAGGCGAGGGCATCGTCTGCGCGTAGGGCGCGTTCGAGTAGGGGCTCGGCGACGACAGCTGGTGTTGCTGCTGCTGCTGTTGCGCCTGCTGTTGCTGTTGTTGCGCCTGCTGCATGGCGGCTGCTCCATGGTGTCATGTCAGCCAGGCTGCCAGGAACGCGCCCACGGGCGGCGATAGGACAGGACAAGAAACGCGCACGTCACTGGCTTACCTCGCTGCTGGAGATACGGGGCTCCTGGCTGAATGCCATTGCTCCCCATGGCGCCACCCATGCCCGGGAACGACGGGGACTGCCCGTACTGCCCATGTGGGTTGGCTTGCTGCTGGAGCCGCGCCTGTGCATCGAATTGGGCGTGTTGCGGGGAATTGGCGAACTGGCCGCCATACGCATTAGGGTTATTGAAATCCATTATCGGCACTCATTGGCCACGTCGCACAACTCGGTTTAGATTGATCGGTGGGTTGATCCGTTGATGGGAGAAAACGTGCGGTTCGTGATAAGCTTGGGTTTCGGCTCTAGAAGCTTTGCAACCCCAGCTCAGGCCAGCCGAGCGAGTCAAGTTGGCCGTCCTCGCCCTCTTTGTTCCAGCGCGACCACTTCCCTCGAGCGCACCCGACATCGTCAAAGGAACTCCAGAATACATCAAATCCCGCATGGCGCCCTACTGGACCAGCGTGCAAGCATGTCCTAATGCAGTGCCTTAAGCAACCTCACACCTCCAGCATCCCTGTCACATGGGCCCACAAAAATGCTTGACATATCTCCCGAACATGGGACGAGACGCTTCCAGATCCGTCACCAGGTACCACGGCCTGCCATTAATACCGGGTCTGAGGCTCTTATCCGCCAACTAGATGAACCGCCGCCACCTGCATATGCCATGTGACTGACTCTTGGGAAGACTCGGCCATGTTGGCATCGAGGCATCTCGAGGCAGCACGCGCCCTCATCCTCCAGGACCGACGCACGCACTTGTTACCTATTTCTCTCATGCACTTCTGAAAACGCCACGTTGTTTTCAAGTTGAGCTTGGCAATCGAGTGTAACTACATCATAGGCTCCCATGCTGCCACTTCTAAGCGAGCTCTAGCTCATCACGCGGTGTGTGGATGGGTTTCTTAACCGGGATCTAACCTCTCAACGCTCCTTCGGTGTGTGTGATACATCCATGTGGCTGCATGACGTCGGAATGTGGGCGCCGATGAGTATAGTCCTTGTCTCAATAGCAAAACGTGCTCAAGAGCTCCTTGGGATCTGCACCTCTCGGGCCGAAGTAAGATGCAGAGATACAGTAGTAATAAGCACTTCGTAAGGCGGTCTCTCCTTGATTATTCTCCAAAGACCTCCTCCTTCGTCGGTGTCTCTTTGCGGCGCAGTGCCACAAAGTACGCCTCTTTAGATTCCTGGAGCCAGTCAGCGTGGAACGCCAACTGTGCAGAAAACCTACAGCGCGAGAGGATTCCGGCTTCTCCCTGTACACCTTGGCGAAGAGACGCTTCAGCTTTGTCTCGAATGCCTTTTCCTCCGATCCTTTGTAGTACTTGCAGAGGAAGTGGCCGCCAGTCTTGAGCGTATCGAAAGCGAATGTCAGGGCGGCCATGCACAAGTCCTACGAAGTTTAGTAAAATCAGGAGTGATCGGCGGACTACCCACCATGCTGCCGGCGTGGTCTCTGAAAGCATTTCCGCTGGTGTTCATCATCCTAAAATATGGGTCACTAAGGCTCTTCTTGTAGAAGCCGGCCGTTTGGTCCCAGGGTTCTGACATGTCGCTGAGCACCACGTCTACTGCTCTACCCTCCTGCATATCTCTCTCCTTCAACGAGAGCCTAGTTGGAGCATCTTGTTCGCTGTCACTGGTCTCTGCTGGGCGCCCGATCGGCTCGAGTTCTGCGCCGTCCAGATGGGCATGTCGTTCGATATCAATGTATCCTCGTTCCATGTCGTCCAGCTCTTCTTCGGTAAGTCCCTCGCTCGCTTTCCCGGAAACCTGTCTTCTGGGTCTGCCCAGGTCCGGATCTCGCACATAGGCTCGAACCTCGTCTTGGATTACAGGTGACAAGAAGTCGCCTTGTATGGTGGAGACGCCTCGCGGGGGTTGTGCGGGTATCAAGTCAATACCTATGACACGGCCCTCTGGAGCAGTACGGTCTGCAGCAACCTGGAGACATTAAGATGCTGTAGTTTGTGTAGATGGATCTGGCGAACCTGGGACCATGATCCTGGTGCGAAACCCTGAATTTCTTTAGCATCATACTTCCAGTGAAGCAGAGAAGCATACCAGATCGACGACAGTTTGACCTGGCTGAAAAAGCTTGTGCTTGGTGTTAAGCTGTGGCGCGTTAGTCAGTGCGCATCCTCAGACCAAGGCGCATTTACTTCAAGCAGCTTGAATGCAGCGCGACTCTTCAAGCCTTGCACTTTGGCTTCCTTGGCGAAGAAGTCCCTGCCTTGGCGTGACTTCCATCTTGTTGAAGATGAGGATGCACGCCGGTCTGAGAGCCTGTGACTGGATTGGTGAGAGTCACGAGTTGCGTGTCTCAAGCCAAAACACGTTGGCGCTACTGGATGATGGGAAGACTCCAGTAGCAAGCTATCTGTGAGCTGCCGAAATATACGACGTGACAGCATAGGGAAGGTGCAACTGTAGTGCGTCGCCTTCGCCTTCGCAGAACTTATATACTCTTATCGATAACGTACGTCAACGATTTCGACATGTCACCCCAAGTCCAGGTCCTTCCCAAACACTCGCGATAGAAAGGACGATAGCTAGGGAAACTACATGTTGCAAGCGACCTTGACTTGACTTGAAGGACAATCACTGTGTTCGCGATAGCTCATGATCTCGGACTCGAGATGTGAGGTCATCTCCGAGATATTATCGTCTTCAACCTCGGAACGCCGAATCTACGATTACGATGTGTCAACGTCCACGGCCGACGTTTGTACCCCGCTGTTCTCCAGAGTCTAGTGAGCACGCGATCTCAATTGGGTGTGGGGTCGTGTGCTCATCGAACGGTACGTTTTGGATGCCTTCGCAGTATCTGGTGATGGAGAGCCCGGGCGGTACCATTCCGCATGTGACGACACCCATCCAAGACAGATACAGTCTATCAAGATCATGAGCAGCAGAACTCTAAAACAGAATCCTATAGTGTTTCCAACAACGGCTGACGCAGAAGGAGTGACAGTGCGCAGCTGACTGCGTCGTCTAGTAAGGGGTGACTGAGGCGCAACGCCAGTTTGCGTGCATCTGCCCTGGTGTTCCCCTGACGTGTTGCCATGATGCGCGTCGAATCATTGCAGCTCGCAGGCAGCCCCGTCAAGGGGCTGATGCCGGAGGGAGACGACAGGTGTCAACCAGAGCCAAGTATCAGATCGCGAGTAC